AAAAAAAAAAAAAACACTCAACAGTTCTGATCAATTCCTTTGGTTACCTCAGCATATATTTCCTAAGTACTAGGAAGTCTACCTATGTGACCACAGTACCGTTACCACATTGAAAAAATTTAACAGTGATATGGTAATACAGTAATATTACTTAAGACCATATACAGTCATATTTAAATTTCCCCAATTGTCCCAATACTATCCTTATGAGGGATTTCTTGGGTTATCTACAACCCAATCAACTATCAAACATTGCATTCCATTGTCATGTCTCTTTAGTGTCCTCTAATCATGAACGGTCCCAAAAACAATTTTTTAAATCTTCCATGACAAGGATACTTTTTTCCCAGAGCCTAGGCCTGTTATCTAGTCTAGTGTCCTACAACATGTGTTTGCCTGATCTCTGCCTCTTGTTTAGATTTATGATTAACATTTTGGATAAGAATATTAAGTAAGTGATGAAGAGTTCACCTTATACCACATCTGGAGGCTGCTAAGGCCAGTTTGTCTATTTATTTGTGATGCTATCAGTATTAATCAGTTTGATCAATTATTTAAGGTGTTTGTTGCACAGATTACTCAGTAGGTATCTTTGTCCCTTGATGATTAATAAGTAGTCTGTGACATGATATTTTGATGCCATGTGGATATTCTGTCAGTCCAACCAAATTTCATCTCCTTGCTTTAATATTATTTGGACTCTTGTCTGATTTGATTATTATTTTGTTAGTTTAGAAAACGGTGATTTTCTAATTCTATCATCCCTTTCTGCTTTTGTTAGTGGGCACTTTGCTGCAAAAAAGAGCATCTCCTTCCCTTCTCCCCTTCACCTTGTTATTGTTTTTGATGTTGTATTTGCTTCAGCAGAACAGAATAAGCTGTTTATTCTTATGAAAGAAATGTAAAGACAATTAACTTGAACAGTATTAAGTGAAAAGCAACCCCAAACATGATGAGTTTGATAAGAACTTCTCTTCTAACACTCTAAACCAGGGGTCCTCAAACTTTTTATACAGGGGGCCAGTTCACTGTCCCTCAGACCGTTGGAGGGCCGGACTATGGGCCCCGGGATGAGTTGGCTGCTAAGCAGGACAGGCAGCGGTGGCAAAAACACCCGGCAGGCTGCATGTGGCCTGCAGGCCGTAGTTTGAGGATGCCCGCTCTAAACAGATTGACAAAATCAGGTGCCTGAAATTAGAATTAACTGGCAAGCAACCACAAAGGAGAAGTTTTTGACAATTATTAAGAAGATCTAAGGTTATTAAATTAAATTAAGCCAGCTACAAAATGGCTTGTATCTTGTACACACACACCCACACACACATACACATTTTAGATGGGAGGCATGGTAAAAAGAGCTTGTTATTTCAATTACAGTGGTATGTTAGAAAATTGTGAGACCATATATAATATTTTACAAAAAGCGGAAGACCTTCAACTAAGTTGTCAAGCAAATGCCCCTATAATACAAGAACTCTCTAACAATATCAAAAAATAATTGACTCAAAATCTGAAAAACGTCCACTACCTTACTTTTAGCATTACATGAGTCACGAGACAGTTTGTCTCCAAGAGCTTGCCAATTTGCAAAGACATGCTCGCAGCATAACAAATTGAACTTGTGGCACAGATATTTTGGAATAATTTCTAACATTTATTTATTTATTTATTTATTTATTTATTTTTCTGGAACCAAAGGTGTCCTTTATTCTATAGCACCCTATTTAAGTTTTATTAATTTTACCCCAAACTTGAAGTACTGAAGATATAGATTAGTAAAAGAAAAAGGAATCTCAATACAAAATATGAAATACATTTAATAAAGTAAAGCAAAAAACAAAGATCTGAGAACATCTAAGAAAGCAAGGCAAGCTGTAGCCAAAGTCTGGAATATCCAAAGAACTTTTGAGTCATACTTTGTTAATAAGCACATCAGCCAAGGAAGGCCAGTAAAAGGTTTGATGTTTTAAAATACAAACAAATATAGGCTTATTTTGTCCTGCAGAAAGTGCTACTTTGAATACATCCGTTAACATAGAGAATTTTGGGGAAAGATTATTACCAAAAGTAATGGTCATTAAATTCAAATTAATGTTAAACATTTTGCAGCATTTTATTGCTAGTGTTTTAAGTCTGCGTGAACAACACCAAAGTACTATGTAACTAGTCTCAGAGAAAACCCAGTACAATTCCAGGAGCTTATCATAAGCTTATATGAAATATATTAGAAATAGTTATTAAAATGTTATCAAAATACTGTGGTCCTCAAATAGGCCACCTCCAAAGAGTCTAATAACTAACTACAGATAAGTAAAGTAACTATATAAATGTGTCAGAGTAAAAAGTTATATACACAGGGCATACTTAATACTGGACATCTATTTCCAAAGCTTCAACAATGCATACAGCAGAAGAATGGTCTTTAGGGTCTTCATTAGTGCATACAGAGAAGAGTTCAATTACTTTCTGGTATGATTCATCCAATTCTTCTGTATTAATAGGTGGCCTAGTTCCCAAAGCTGCATAGTACGCTTCATCATCAAAGTCAGTTTCATCAAAAGTTTTATCTTCATCATCATCATCTGAAAGACTGATATGTGGAATACACAAAGTCATCATTGCCCACAGAGTAAGGCCAAAGGCAAATGTGTCTGCCTTGTCAGTAATAATACCATTCTCTTCCAAAGCTTTCTTGAGTGTCCATGGCTCTGTGCCAATGTAACAAGCCTCAGGGTCAGTCACAGTCATATTTTCATCCAATGTTAGAGAAACCCCCACATCACAAATTTTAATTGTTTCAAAATCACCTTCAATTACAACATTTGAAGACTTTATATCTCCATGAAGCAGTTTCTTTTCATGGTGCAGGTACTTTAACCCTCTTGCCATGTTCAAAACAACTGTTAAAATTATGGCTGCTGGAAAGGATCTCCACTGTCTTTATTTTGTTCTTCTATTAAGCCATGTAGAGACTTTTCACCTCCATATTCCATAGCAAGATATAGGCTTCCATCATTAGCTTCAGTAAGAAAAAGAGCACGATAGCCTATAATGTTTGGATGGTGAAAGCTTTTCAAAATCTTAGCTTCATCGATTAATCTACTTTGGTACACTCTTCGATAATGATCGTTACATATAGGATTAATCTTTTTCACTGCCCAAGGAGAATGAGACAAACCCTTTGGAGATCTTTTCATCAGTTAAACATTTAGCCCAGTACCAAAGCCAAGCTTCTGCATAAATGGAGAGGCAGAGATGTTTATACATGGAGTTGAACATAATACAGATTTTTTTTTCAGATAATTTACTTTGGTGTCTTAAAATTACTGATTCCTTCCATTGTAGTAACCACTCTAGGTCCAGAGTCACATGGAGTAGGAAAAGAACAAGGCCCTCTTGATAACCGGTCCCCGGTGGCCCCCAGGAGGACCCCACAGCTGCCTGGGCTTCCGCACATGGAGGTGGCCCATAATTTCTAACTTTTAAAAGAGAATTGAGCTAATTATGAAAGATACTACAAAAACTAGTTCCTATGATGAAAGACAAGAATCTGGCTGTTTGGTCAAAAACTGAATTTCATTGTCATTTAAATCAAGAGTCTGAAGCTTCTCTTATTTCTTCTTCCCACTATATGAATCCTGCTGGAAACATCAGGGATTAGCTTTCTAAAATAGAGCATATGAAAAGTTTCATGAATACAGTCATCAAACTCATTCAGCAAATATGTGCAAATTCAGTGAATCATCCTAGGTTTTTTTTGTCAGTCATGCTTGAGATGTGTAAGTTTTATTGACCTTTCTTTAAAACCTCGTTTTTGTTTTATTGATTTTCTCTATTGTTTTTCTGTTTTCTACTTTGTAGATTATTGGACTTATCTTTTGTATTACCTTTCTTCCCATTGCTGAGGGTTTGTTTTGCTCTTATTTTTCTTGTTTATTTTGAAGTGACAGCTTAGATTACTGCTTTGATAGTCTTCTTTTTGTCTGATGCAAGTGCTTAATGGTATAAATTTCCCTTTCCACAAAGCGTTAGCTTTGCCCCACAGATTTGATATGTTTCATAAGCGTTTCCATTCAGTTGAATTCATTTCTTAATGTCCTGGAAGACTTTCTCCTTATTATTCTTATTTTTTAAATTGCCAAATTAAAATCATATATATGTATATATGTGTGTATATATAGATATATATGTATATACACACACACATACATGGTGTATGATATTTTGATGTAAGTATACATGGTGAAATGGTTAATTCAAGATGATTAACATCTGTGTTACCTCACATTCTCACATGCTAATTGCTTTCTTGTGGTAAGAACACTAAGTCTCTTAGCAAATTTCAAGTATACAGTATGTTGCCATTACCTGTAGTCACCATGGTCTACAATAGATCCCTTCAACTTAGTCCCTCTAACTGAAATTGTGACACATTTTGACCAACACTTCCCCAAACACTCCAACCCCCATCCTCTAGTAACCACCATTCTACTCTCTGGTTCTGTAAGATGGACATTTTTAGGTTTGACAATTAGTGAGATCATGAGTATGGAAATCTACACTCCTCACTAGACCTCTAGACCTTTATGAGCATGACTGGGTACTGGGCCACAGTGTAGCAACCTATGCAACAGAATATGTAGCAGTTTATGTAACGGGATATGTAGCAACCTGTGTAACAACATATGTGGTGATCTATGTAACAACCTATGCAGCAAGATGTGTAGGAACAAGGACAGCAGGCTTGCAGAGACAAAGTGGCCTGGTGATTGACCAGGACAGTGGGCTTGCAGAGACAAAGTGGCCATTTTTTGAAACATACAAGCAATCACTAGAGTTAAGGAACAGAGGGTGGCAGTTGGAAATTGATCAGCTGTGGAATTCCAGTGTGGGGGTAGGGCTCCGGGGAGGGGAGCTTGTTCTCAATAAATAGCAGCTGTGAGGTTGCTTGGGGCCTTTTCCGTGACTCACATGGGGAGGCCCACCTCCTCCTGCAAGCTTGGAGCTTACAATCCATTGTCCGGCCTGCTTCCTTGGTGACGGCACTGACACCACAGGGTTTTCTGAGGTGTTTGTCTGGAGTACAACAGTTATCATCAAAACTTTTTTCTGTCATTCTACCCAACCTTCAAAGAAGAGCTCATACCTATATTGCAGAACCTATGCAAAAACATTGAGAAGGAAGGAATCCTACCCAACTGCTTCTGTGAAGCAAATATCACCCTGATACAAAAACCAGGAAAGGACTGAACAGAAGGAGAAAACTACAGACTAAGATCATTAATGAATATTAAAGCAAAAATACTCAATAAAGTATTAGCAAATAGAATTCAGATACACATCAAAAAATCACAGCCAGGTTGACTTCATCCCAGAGATAAAAGGCTGGTTTACCATACACAAATCCATAAACATTTTTTACCACATAAACAGAGGCAAAAACAAAGACCATGTGATCCTCTCAAATAGATGCAGAAAAAGCATTTGATGAAATCCAGCATCCTTTTCTGATAAGAACACTTAAGAAAATAGGCACCGATCAGGACATTTATTAAACAGACAGAAGCCATCTACAACAAACACACAGCCAATATCATAAAAATAGAGAGAGAAAAAAAAAAAGGAAACTATTTTCTCTTTGAACTGGAACCAGACAAGGATGTTCCCTTTGGCCATTACTGTTCAACATAATGTTGTAAATGCTAGCCAATGCAACCAGGAAAGAGACAGATATCAAAGGTGTCCAAAAGGGGACAGAAGAAGTCAAAATTTCACTCTTTGCAGATGATAGAATCTTATACAGAGAAAATTCAAGGGACTCAACCACAAGACTCCTGCAAGTGATCAAGAAATAGAGTAATGTCTCAGGATATAAAATCTATGTTCACAAATTAGTAGCCTTCATATACACCAACAACAGGCAAGCTGAGAACCAAATCAACACTCCCAAACTCTCAAAGAGGAAGAGAAGTAGAGAGCAAAAACGGATCATTCTCTCAGAGAGCTCTGGCATAATTCTGAGAACCAAATCAAAGTCACAATACCCCTCACAGTATCTTCAAAGGAAGTGAAATACCTAGGAATATACTTAACAAAGGGTGTGAAGGGTCTCTATAGAGAGAATTATGAAACCCTGAGCAAATAAATAGCAGAAGATGTTTACATATGGAAGAACATACCATGCTCACAGCTGGGAAGAATCAACATTGTTAAAATGCCAAAATTACCCAAAGGGATTCAAAGATTTAACATAATCCCCATTAAAACAACAACATCGTGCCTTGAAGAACTTGAGAAAATCATTTATCATTTAGTATGGAACCAGAGAAAACTCTGAATAGCCAACAAAATTCTACAAAAAAAAAAAAAAAAAAAACCTGGAGGCATCACGTTACCAGACTTCAGGTAACACGTCTACAGTGATCAAAATAACATGATATGAGAGGGCCCCAGCGTCACGGCTCACTGCAGTCTCAAACTCTTGGGCTCAGCCAAGCTTTTATCTCAGCCTCCCCAATAGCTGGGACTGCTGGCGCTATCCAAAACGCCCAGCTATTGTTTTTAGAGGCGAGGTCTCTCTTCTCTTGCTCCCACTGGTCTCCAACTCCTAAAGGCAGGCAATCCACCCATCTCGGCCTCCCAGAGTGTTAGGATTACAGACATGAGCCACCGCACCAGGCCCTACTGTATACGATTTAATTTGATCCTGGATGGTTTCTAATAATTATAAGGAGTTAAACACCTTTCTGTTGGATAACTGCTGCCTCAGCTGGACTGTAAGTTGGCGGACAAAGCCACCCGGCATGTGGTGAGATCCCGGTGCTGAAGACTAACGCTGGACCCCAAGATCGGGAGTTGTGGGTGCAGCGACTGAAGGAGGAATACCAATCTCTTATTCGGTATGTGGAAAACAACAGGAATGCGGACAATGATTGGTTCCGACTGGAGTCCAACAAGGAAGGGACTCGGTGGTTTGGAAAATGCTGGTACATCCATGACCTCCTGAAATACAAGTTTCACATTGAGTTTGACATTCCTTTCACTTGTCCTACTACTGCTCCAGAAATTGCAGTCCCTGAGCTGGATGTAAAGACAGCAAAGATGTACAGGGGTGGCAAAATATGCCTGACTGATCACTTCAAGCCTTTGTGGGCCAGGAATGTGCTTAAGTTTGGATTAGCTCATCTCATGGCTCTTGGGGTCCATGGCTGGCAGTGGAAATCCCTGATCTGATTCAGAAGGGCGTGATCCAGCACAAAGAGAAATGCAACCAATGAAGGAGCAGGCCACTGAGGCTGGGCCAAGGGACCTTTGATGGGCTGCCTTCCTCTTTTCCTGTGCACCTTACTTATCTGCCTGCTTCCCCCTATGCCCTATACCCCTAGTTGTTACTAAGTAGCTACAGCAGGCCTAGCTGGAAAGAAAAACAAAACAAAACTCCTGAACAGTATTGCTATTGTGTTCCTAAGGCTGCACAGGGAAGAGACTGGACTGGGCCTTGGAAAATCAAGAGGCAATTTATATCCCCTCCCCATGTGGAGCAATGTGAGACCCCAGAGGCACGGGGGTAGCTGAAAGTGCATACATAGCCTTTCTGGCTCTGGATACAACCCATCAATTAAAGCTGCTTCCTCTGGTTAAAAAAAAAAAAAAAAAAAAAAGCAGGATATTGGTATAAAAATACAGACATATGTCTGTGGAATAGAATTGAGAAGCTAGAGATGAAACCAGTCTCACACATCTCCAACTGATCTTCAATAAACCAAACAAAAGCATACACTGGGGAATAGAATTCCTATTTAATAAACGGTGCCAGGAGAACTGGATATCCACGTGTAAAAGACTGAAACTGAACCCCCACCTCTTACCACTCACAAAAATTGACTCTGGCTCCATAAAAGATTTAAATCTAAGACATGACACAATAAAAATTATCATGGGAAAATCTCTTAAGGATATCAGCCTAGAGGAATAATTTATGAAGAAGATACCATTGGGAATTGCAGGAACAGGAAAAATAGGTAAACGGGACCTAATCAGGCTAAAAATCTTCCAGGCTAAGAATACAACCAACAAAGCAAATAAACAACTGTCGGAATGAAAGAATATATTCACATGTTATGAATATGACAAAGGGCTAATAACCAGAGTCTACAAAAAACGCAAGCAAATCTACAAGAAAAGAGCAAACAACCAGATGTCCAAAAATTGTATTACAA